TATGTTCATACCCACATGAGTACGTTCATACCCAGACCGTACCTATTCGAGACTACTACTCGTAGGTATCATTCCTATGCGGGCAATGCAATGGTTTCAAAGAGGAAGACGGAAAACGTGGTTGCGGATTGTGGAAAGGAGAAGATCTCGATTTTTGATTTTTTCAACCTTCCTTTCTGCACACAGTCTCTCCCTTCTCGTCAAAGAACTGCGACTGCTCTGCCACCACAATTGAAATCTCGARCAAAGATCATTGCATAGCATAGCATCACACCACACCGCACCTTACTTTACCGATTGCCTCCGAGGATGAACCGGCTCCGACCACTCGTGGCACGAGGCTTGCCATCGGCGGCAGCAACTGCAACTGCAACCACAACAAGAATGGCGGCTTGGAGGAGACAACGGCTGGCAAGGAGCCATCGAAGCTTCCAGCTGCGTCTGGGGTCCTCCTCGCACAAGCACAAGGACAAGCACAAACCAAGCAGCAGCARCGCACCCAGGCCCGGCGGCACCTGGATCTACCTCGGCTGGACGGTCCTCGGCCTGGTCGGCGTCGACCAGGCCCTGCAGCACAAGCAGGCCTCGGCCGACGCMAAGGCCCGGAAGGCCCTTTYGGTCCTCCAGAAGGACGCCGAGGCTTCCGCAAAGGCTGACTGGGAGCGGTCGGTCGACCAGCGAGCAAACACAGCCCCCGTCGGTGCCTCGAGAATCGCCAGGGTCGATCCCTGCCTCGACGGGACCAAGATGCTCACCCGCCACAGGGGCGTCCAGAGGGGGGACGCCGTSGACGTTCTGGAAACCGGCGTCGGGCCTGCCGGCCGGTACCACCTGTGCCGGTGGACCAAGGGCGGTGCGAATGAAAATGCCGGCGATGGCAGCGCCGTGGTGGTGGTGGGCTGGTACCCGATCGATTACCTCGAGCCGCTCGAACSTGGAAAGCACGCCTAGCCGGTGGTTGCACCCCTGGGTGGCACGAACGCAAATTTCTACTAGCCACCGGTAACTCGGTAATTCAATAGACMCGGACTCATGCAACAATTATCTCTACCGTGGAAGACACACATTACACTACACATTACATTACACTACATTACCATTCGCGTGCGTGCTTRACCTCCGTGGGTGGAACCGCACGGACCCACTCGCTTCCGTTGGCTTCGGTGCTTCGCACCCACCGTTCCCGGTGCCGGTGCGTTGCGGGAGGGGGTTCGCCCGGGCCTTCCTCGTCGCTCGGCCAGTCCCCGCCCATGCTTTCGGAGCAAGGGGGGTCGCGGTGGGACGAGGAGGAGGAGGAGGAGGGCACCCCGGTTCCCTTCGGCACGGGGTTGGGATCCCCCAAAAGGTCGCCGCCGGCTCCTTTTTCGGTCGGGTTCCGGTCCCCGCACGGTGCGCGTTCGCGTTCTCCCCACGCCGGGCACCACCCGTCCAGGGACAGGTCGGACTCCTCCGAGCGGTTGGGGGCCACCCCCAGCTCGACCACCACCGGGACGCCCTGGGCGTCGGTTCCGAGGGTGGCGGAAGGCTCCCGCTGCTCCRGGGAGCCCTTCCCGGGAAGGTGCCTGCGCGAGCCCCACCCCTGGGGGGGGGGACAGCTGCTCGAAGAGGGCCCGGATCTCCGGGAGCTCGTCGCACGGGCCGATCTTGTGCAAGAGCTCGCTGCGCCCGCACCGGTGGGCCCTTCCGCTTAGACGGCGCCTGGGGCCGGCCCGGTGGCTTGGAGCAGCAGCAGCAGCGAGGGGCCCGGCCCGCCGGGGATGGGCGGTTCTCGATACCATGGAATGGTGTGTGTATGTGTGTGTGTGCGTGCGGATAGTGGTGGTGGTGGTGGTGGTGGTGGTGGTGTCGTGCCTGGACGCCTCGTGTCGTGTCGTGTCGCCGAGGGGGTGGTGTCGTGCTTGGTTTGGTTTAATGGGACAAACTCGCCGCAAGAAAGGATTTTTCTTTCGTTCGAAGAGCAACAGCGAACAACAGAAGCGAGGGTTTGCGGCGGAGTGACGGAATTCCGGGGGGGGGGGGAGTGTTGTTCGCGGGATGGAGCATCGCGCAACGACGGCATCCCTCTGCGATGCAAACCAAACCCACYGGTGAACAAAGCAGTGGCTACAGGTACGGGTCCCCGCTGCCGTTCGGGTTGACAGGCATGTGTCAATCCGTACAGTATGTACGGTACTCGCACGATGGTTCCAAGCTTTTTCGGTTCGGTTTGCGACGCAAGAACCATTGCGTTCGGAGTTTCGGTTCGCACTCCCAGCCGTTCGACGATCGGCGGAGACGYAGAGCGAACCAGGATGGTTCGTAATTCACTCGGCTTAAGAGAGAAACAGATTTTGTATGTGTAACCCCTCTTCGGCTAGGAAAGAATATTCGCAAGCAAAAAGATAGGTGCAGCAACTCTAATATACAAGTGGACACTTTGTCCTAGCGTTTTAACACTTTGTCTTGAACTGGTTTTATGAATTTTTATGAATGTTTAAAACTAGAACTTTTGCAAAAATTGATGAGTTACCCTAATGTTCACTCTTCCCATATATGGTATATTTTAGAACATCGTAATTCCGATTACACCGTATCCTCGTTGYATTGCCTCTRTGGTTCACCGGAATGTTTCAGATCACCGTCTTGCGAATCATTCGCACAGAATTTGTCGGTCTCGTTCTGCGTATTGGTTGGTATCACCGTCAGACTCTCGATGTCTACCATTTGTGACGCATCAAATCCAATGGTGTAGCCCGTGTCGTGCTGCTCCGAATCRCTGGAATCCGCGTGGAGAATTTCCAGTCCCGAAGACTCGGAGCGACTCGCAGCATCGGAGTCGGAGGTTTCGGTGGCGACCGTCTCGGTGCTTTCTCCGTTCCCGGGCTCGCTTTCCCCCGCTTCTTGCTCTGCCTGTTCCTCGCGTTTCTGCATCTCGGACAGCGCACACTGCCAGGCCCCTCCGTGCGCGRTTTTCTGGTCGTCGATCTTGGTTCCGGGAACGAACCAGTGCCGGCAGACCGGGCAGCGTTTCTTGCCCTTGGTGAGCCACTGCATCAGGCACTCCTTGTGAAAGGCGTGGGAGCASTGCAGGTCGCTCCAGACGACCGTGTCGCCCGCGCAATACTCTTCGATGCACAGCGCGCAGGTCCCGTCGAAGCACCGACGGCCCTCGGMGACGTCGCACAGCTCGAGACAAAGGGTGGGMTGTTCGTCGGCTTGGTCGCAAGCGATTGTGCAACCGAGATTTTCTTCGTCGAAAGCGGTTGTACCACCGAGAGTTGCTTCCTCGCAAGCGGTTGTACAAGCGAAATCCCTCCTCTTGTCGGCGTTTTSTCCAGCCTCGTCTTCGTCCGAATCGATGGATTTGCCTTCGCTTTTCGGGGCTTGCGCCTCGGTTTCAGTGTGGTTCACAGGTAGATCATCAGAAGGCGAGCTGTTGCCTGATGCGCGGAAGAGATTGGATTCGGAAATAACCTGATTCAATTTCAATATACATTGGCGTCGAAAACATCAGAGACGATTTGAAGATTAGCTTAATGGTCTAAAGCATCGGCTTTTCCACGGAACTGGTTTGGCCCTCTTCTTCATTTAGGGTGTCATCCATGCATCCATGCATCCATGCATCCATGCATCCTTTCAGGTCCTACTTACCACCGAGTACGGCTTCATGTAGTATTCGTACCACATACGGCGTTCCTTGCGCTTTAGCTCGCGTTCCTTTTCGCGTTCTTTTTCGCGTCCTTCTTCGTTTAGTTGGCGGTGGAGAGCCAGCGCCAGCAATCGATCCAAGTCGTACTGCTCAGTCTCATCCTCCCTGACGCTGGCGGTCCTTTCCCTACAGTGACAGCAGATCTTGGCGAAGAAGGTAGTTGCGCAAGTTTCATCTCCTGCGTCGCTAAGACTGGCGACGTATTGCCGGAAGCTACACACCAGGACAACCACTACAGACAGAAGCGTCGCGCCAAAGAAAAASACCAAACCGATTTGATCCGTTATCGTACTTGGTCCATCCGAAAAAGACGGTGCTTTCGAATAGGAACGATCGATTTCATCCATTTGATTATGCTTACGTCGTAGATTTACTTGCAGTTCCAATAGATATGGAAAGGATGTATTGTGCCGGCTTTTAGTTGTTTTTTTACTGGTGTCACACGAAAGAAAATAGATATCGAATGGTATTTCAGGGCGTCAAATTTCTGATGGGCAGGAATACAAAAACATCGCTCTGCACACTCTTGTGACAGAACTAATTAACGAGTAGTATTCTTGCTATCCCCATCCATCAGACGAACATACCGTCTGCTTCCACAATTTCTGATAYCATCTGACGAAGTGACGAAGAACATCAAAGAAAATACGTGACGAAGAACATCAATCTGGTCCATATTCTTCTTCGTAAAGGGCTATTCTATGAACATTAAGAAACACAACATGTCAGCTGATGATTGAGCTTTTGTTCCAAAATCAATTCTACGGTTCTTTCGTTTCTATTCTGGCGTATGAGATCGCCGGCATTCACGCAGAATGGTTCTGTTCGCGCGATTGCTCAACGAAATAATGTGCGAAAAGGTTCGGATTTTGAATTTCTGACGCATTTATTTTTGTTCCTCGCGAGTCTGGTTGGTTCGCGCACTTCGCGATACCGTTATTATTTATTTTTTGTTACAGTATTTTGTGATGAAGATGCTTGAARAGCCATGAAAAACAACGTTTGACGATGGTGCGGATCTCACGAAAGGACTCAACTCTTCGGTGTTTGGCAAGGGTAAAATTCATCGAGGCAGCAGACCCTAGCTCTCGGCGCAGCGGCGGCTGCAATCTGAGTAGATTCGTTCGCTGTGTCTGCCTTCCCGCTTCCCAACTCTAATTCGTTGTCGTTGCAGCGAAACAATTCGATCTCGTAGCGAAGCAGCTCGTTCCGGGCCACGGGGGCTCTGAGCCCCAGCTTGTAGGCTTCGTATCGCGAGACACCCTTCGATCCATAGGCYAGTTCGGGGGGAACGACCACCATCCGCAGTCCACCGAGCCGCATCGGGTCGGCCTTTCCGTAGCCCCCCTCCCAGGAGGCAGAACCCTGGGCCAGGATYGCGTCCTGGACGCCAAGCGGTATCAYTCCCTTGGACAGGGCGCTCCCTTCGTTGATGTAGTAGAGTTCTTCGGCCCGGATCGACCCCAGCCGGAAGAGCAGGGGCCGGCCGTCCTCGCGGGTGTCCAGCAGGGTCGATCCGTCCCTCTTGAGTGCCCTGATGTGCATCAGAACAACGCCCGGGTCGTTTTCGTTTCCGGCAACGCCATCGTTATTTAGGCCGGAATCGGTGGCCTCCGGGGACGATGGTYTCGATGCCGGAGTCTSTTTCGCCAGKGTCACCTGGGGCCCGGAGCCAAYCCGTGCATCGCTAAACTGCAGGCCCGWCGACAAGCGAATGATTCTTCTCCGCGATGATTCCTCTTGCTTCTGTGGCGTTGTTGCTGCAGCTGCTGTCTGCTCCGAAGCACACGAAGATTCCGGTSCACAAAGAACGTTAATACCAATCGTTGAAAATGCTAACGACGACACAAACCGACGTCGTTGCAGCGATTGCAGCTTTCTTTCCAACAATCTCTGTTCGGAGCAAAAGCGTTGTGGTGTCTCCGGTATTTCAGGCTCGCAATATTTTTCCGAGGACACGGAACACCTCTGYGAACTGTCGGCATGATGAAGTCGAGACGACACCGAAGGAGTGGAGAAACAGAATCCAAGGCTCGTGCCGCCGAGCAATTGAGATGCAGCGACCACAGCAATCAGATGCAGAATTCGAAACGCCATCTCCTTTCGATTCAATACCTCATGTAGTGYGACGCCCGTGGCATTCAATGATCCGCAGCCACGCCAATGATGACAGATATTACTGTTCAATTCAGTAGCGCTTGCATTCTCWCGAAATGACGACAGAACAGSAGGGACTRAGCGGAATGCGGATATCATTTTGCTTCGTACGTGTAAATAACAGTACCGCGYAGAAGCACAGTACTTGTRTTACGTAACSATGGGCAAACGAAAACGGCAAAAGATTCCAAACAGAAAAACTGGGGGGCCCCAGAAAATCCAAAACGCTGTCCTTCTATCCCCAAGAAGCCCGWAATAMTTCAATTTGTTGGCGAGAAATGAGCTTSTTGAACGAGARACGTTTYTTGCCAACACTATCAAAGTTTATTGTTGTAACAAGGAGCTGATCSGGAACTGGCTGATCCATTGGATRAGTGTAGGAGTCAGATTGAATAATGGGGAAAAAGGGGAAGCTTGTTTTCAAAGGCGATAAGCCTAAGAAGAAATCCAAGAAGTCAAAGATTACCAAAGGTGAACACGCGAAAMCGATAGGAGCCGGGGCAGCAGAAACAATAATAGACACAGAAGCGACTGCAAACTATCAGCGAAAGAACGTTGCTCCTTCGATCCGAAACAATACCTCTGCATCGGCAGTGCCTAGCATCGAAAATGGAACGGGTCACATTACGACATCGGGAACCGTTGTATCCGGACACGACACAAAATTCGAAAAAGAAATCCACGTCGGCGACGCCATACTCGTAACAATATCTCTCCCCGACAATACGACAGCGGAAGAAATGCGGATCGTAACAATGCGCCTGTCGAACGTCTCGTTGAACCTATCCAGTGCGTTTTCACAAAATCTGAGCGAGCCGCAGTCCTTTCGGTTCGTCCGCAAGCCAAAAAATCTGGAACAAGAACGAAGGAAGGAGCGACAAAAGCAACTSGAAGAAGCGAACGAAATCGAAAAAAGCGCCTTTGACATTTACGGCAAAGACAATCGAGGGGGTGGCGAGAACACTGTGTTTACTTTTCGGGAGAAGACAGAAACAGGGTCGTACCGGGTCAAACAGCAGCACGTTTCTTCCTCTGGGTCGATTACCCGTGCGGACCTGTTGGATTTGCGTTCGAAAAAGACTAGTGACAAGTATTGCTAAGGAAACAAATCAAGTAATTATTCTCTCTCAAGGGTTATTGTTGTTGACCGGCATGTAGAGTATGTCAGAGATGAGTGAAATGAAAAAAATAAGTAGCAGTAAAAGCAACAAGAATTAACCTGTTCGTCCGAGTGTAACAAGCTGATCATAGTCTGGCGATTCTGAACTCTTTTGAAAAATTGTTTTATGCTGCCATCGGTTCAAGCTCAGTATCACAACAGGTCGGCAAAACACCGCGATCAAGCTACGTCGTTTGGTGAAGTAGACTACAAAAATGCCATTCGAAACAGGCTTGCATCGATGATTCGCAGTGCTCCTAATACCAACGGTGACGAAATTGTCGGAGAGCTAAAGATTTGAAAAAGAAGAAGCGTACGATTACCATGTCTTTTCGTATCACATATTTTCCTGTCGTGTCGCATGGCATGGCATAGCATCAAATCAAATCATATTACATCACATCATACACTAGATTTCTGGACCCATCGTAGGCTGATGGCCGACAAGAGAAAGTACACGGTAGAAAGGGACAGGAGCACCGCATATCCCTCGATGGTGTAGTCCTGGTCGGCTTCCGTGGTGGACGATCCAAACAGGTATAGGACGGGTCCGCCCACCATCGGTCCGATCGCCGACCCAAGAAAGGCGGCCACGCCCCATATACCTAGCAGCTGCGCGTTGCCMCCAGATGGACCAATGTCATAGKCTGTGGGCAGCGTATCGATGGCGAGRGATGTTTCCATAGTCAAGTAKGCCCCTGTAGAGATAGAGAGAAAGCGGGTAGAGCAGCATAGGCGCGTCGGTCAGAACGAGATTCAACGAGTGGCAGTGYCGGTTTTCCATTCGATTCCATTCCACTCGATGGACTTACCATTCGCAGCCCCAAAACAAAAACACAGCAGGGTCATCCGTTCGATCGTCTCGGCGAAAACCATARCMAGTGTGATTGTCCCTAGCAGCGTACACGCCACGTAAACAAAGGGTTTTCGCCGCCCTCCACAGAACCGATCGGAGATCCACCCTACGGGGTAGCAGACGAGGGCACCGGCCATCTGRCTGACCACCGCCAGCGTGGCAACGGTCGCCTCYGGGTTGTCCCGGACGCCGATAATGTCATGGACAAAGTATAGGAAAAACGTCTGGACCGATGACCCGCAATAATAAAAYAGCCTGCTCACCGTGACGATGAAGAAATCGTGGTTCTCCTTGACATCGATCGTATAGGTCGCGGCAAGGGTGTGTTTGTCCAGTGCCACGATTGGATCGTAAAGCATGTTCTTGAGGAGGACAAAGGGACCAAGTATGAGCCGCCGCCGACGCCGTCGGCGCTGGCTTCTCGTGATCGGGTGGTTYTTTGCCAGCGAATCCGCTCTCTCTCTCCTCCGAAAGCTCCGCGAGATTTCCCGCCGCTCCATGAATACGCGAACATCCTTGTCGTGGGCGTACAATCCTGTKAGGATTGTTGTAAGAACCTTGTGGCGGCAGAACGGAACAGGAAAGGGAAGGTAAAGTTGACGTTCACAAAAGCATTTTTAGAAAAAAAGGACAAGGGCATCAGACAGAATCATTTGAGATGAAAATGGCGGYCATRACTAGTTTGGACGCAATGTTGGAACAAAGAACAAATCGAGCAAAGGAAATGAACGTTTTCTCTCTCTTGTAGCTCAAACTCACCACGATGCAGATATACAAGCCGTACATTTCCTGTATGATTCCGTTGGAGTATAGATGAAAGTAGGAAAATCCAGCGAGCGATCCGGTGACCATGAGAAATGCGAGGATACCGTTGGCAATCCCTGTCTGGGACGTCGGCACCTGGTCTGGGATTAGGGCAATCATCATTGCGTAGGTAATGTTGAGGCCGATCATGTGAAAGAAGAAAAACACTGCATAAGGAATCCATAGCGTGTGATAGGATTCCACATACTCTCCGAGCAGGCCAAAAACGCTCAGGGCCGCGCCCAGCGAGAGGTAGGGCATCCGCTGGCCGAGCTGAAATTGCGTCGGCGGCATGTACGTATCGCTCAGCATTCCGGCCAGCGGAGAGATCAGCTGGGTGAAGCCCGCGATCGCCACGAAGCAGCCAAGGGAGACCTGGCGAAAGAAATAGAGAGAGGGAAGACAAAACGAAGAGAAAGATTCAAATAATCTATCAATTGACGCTGGGGGGTGTACAGGGGATGGAAAAATACGCAATTTTCTGTTTGGACCACACAAAGGATTCGGAACCCAACGCAATGCAGCCACTAAAAAACGACGCATCAATTCGCACTTACGCTCTTGGGGACGCTAGGAAATTGTGCCTCGATCCGCTCGCATTCTACMGGCAGGGTGATCAGAAAGAGGGTAGTCATGATGCAGCCGTAGGCGAACGCRGATGAAAGGATAGACACAATGGTCCAAATCGGCAGGAGTTCTTGCTCGCGTTCTTTGCTCGCACACGACCGCAGCRGGAGATCGTTCTCCTCGCTGGTGTCAGAGGAGTCGAGATCTTCCCYGCTGCTTTCTATGGCTTGCTCGCCGGCGCCATACCACAGATTTTTGTTGTTGCCGCTGCTGCTGTCCTTGCTGTTGACCGGAGTGTCGCCCCCCTCAATGCAATCGTCCAACAACAACGAGGTGGATTCGTTGGTGTTGCTTTCAAGAGGCATGGTAMACTGGTCTAGAGATCAAAGTAGAAGACGATGCACTGGAATCTGCTGCAACTCAACCTTTGTCTGATAACCACCGTTTTTGTTTTGCGTGCTAGCGAATTCGAATTCAGATTCCACCCCTTTTTAAAGAAAKCCTAGCTTCGTAAACAGATCAAGAGRATTTCTTTCAAAGATCAGTAMAGACAATCGAAATCGATCGGCTGATTCCACAAACKAAAGAATAGTCGAGCTGAATAGAATAGAATCCGTAAACAAAACAGAACACACCAATTGTTGGTGTACCGTTCTTTTCTCCCCGGATTTTGAAGCACCTGCAGCAGCACTTGTTTCTGTCTTTAGTCCCTTCCCTTCAGACCCGATCGAGCATAAAGCAATTGATCTTTATTCAATTCTAGTACCGTCTAGTCGATCTCGGTTTGTGGTTTTCTTGCCGCCTGTTGCGGTTTGCTTCCCTGCCAATTTTATGAGAAGGCATGCTACTTCCGTCCGATCTTTAGGACAGGGGGCAGCGCTTGATCCAGGGTTGGAAATTCCGATCGATGTCGATGACTGACTCTCTCGACTCGTATCGATCGGACTTCCGACGGGTTCGGGTTTTTGGTACGGTACGTACGAATTAAGGATACACGTACGTACGTACGAAGTACTCATAAGTATTCTCTTGCGGTACGAAACGTAAGTAATTTKTGGTACGTACTCTAAGAGAGTCGATCGAGTCGACACCAGCACGCGATCGGGGTTCGGTTTGATGGTTGTGCTGACACGCGCATGCTGGCTGCCGAAGAAAAGACGAGAACCGATCTCCCAATCAAAACGATGGATTTGAGACGCACAGTAACGAAGCGGTTCTGCCAGAATGAAAGAGAGTCATTTCCGCACGTGTTTTCCACGCATCGCATTGCTAATCTCGGTTCCACCTTTTTTCTCTTCCGCGGTGTTGAGATCACTCCTTGTACTCGTAGCCGTAGAGAACAACGAATGAATCTYAATCGAGAGGACGATGCTACTGTACGGTAGGTACCGTAGGATCCGTACGGCAGTGCAAGTTGAGGGGAACCTTTCCTGACTGTTACTGTATTGGATGGATGCTGTCAACAGCTATCAACTGCAACCGCCAAGAAAAATAAGAACCGTACGCTCAGTACTATTATCTAAGTAACAATAGATTCTACGTTTGCGGTAGACGTGCGTGTGGAACAAGTTGCTTCCTCAGTATCGGAAGAAGAGCAAAAAAGAAAAATGAATTCCGAAGCCCCTTCGGGTTTTGTAACATCACATGCCCCCACACGGTATCGTACGGTACGTACTTATCTGTTACTGATGCACTGCTGTTTGCAACCAATATCAACCAATACTTTTCTCATGAACTGGTGCTCGTTCCTTCCAAACAAGAAACAGGCAAACATACCACTAAACTACCGCATCTGCCCAATGCAATCCTAGCAGAGCAGAGCAMAGGCACAGGATAACAAAACCAAATAGCACAGAATTCTATTCCATCAATCCGAGAAGCCGAACGCCTTTCGATTAGTGGCAACCATCTCACATCCCAAACGGAACGAGTCTGTCCTCGATACCATACAATCGTCTACCATACCATTCAACACAACGGGGCCGCAGCTTCTTTTTCACTCTCAAGGAAGGAAAAACATGGACCGCCAYGAAGTAGAAAAAGGATCGGTGGTGGATGCCAAAACACGAGAAACCGCTGAGACGCTGCTGGAGGTACTGCGGAAACGACAACGAAAGGAAACGCTTGTGGCACGCTCGGACATTCACACAGCGACCAAGGAAAGGGGCCCTGAATCGCTAATTTCCGTGGGAGCAGGAGTTTTAGTACCAGCGGTACCAGCGCCAGYGGCACAACACCCGGCGGCAGCGAAGACGATTCGTCACGGATTCGAATTGGATRCAACGGGGTGGGGAAATGCCAACAACAGTGGAAACTCGCACCGTGGCTRCGGTTCATCCCCGCCACAGATACAAAGCCGACGAGAAACACAAGCTCAGTATAAAYTACCGCAGCAACCACATCAGGAGCAACACCAGGAGAAACATCAGCARCAAATGCACCCCGTTCCWAACAATCGCCAGCCCCAGAACATGGATCCTCTAAAAGCAACGATTGACACCAGCACTGGTTCTGTTTTCAACGCGAATGGCAATTCCTACCAGRCTTCTTCTCCTSCTCCTGTCGCTACAGGCTTCCACGATMAAATGGCCTTTTCGATGACGTCCATCGGCATCGGCATCGATCACCAGCACTACCACTTTCAAAACCAAAGCCGCGGCAACCCCCCGCCCTTTCCGGATGCTACCGAGGCTGCAGCAAAGGCCGTCAAAGATGCAATGGATCGATCCTTTCTCCGGTGCTCTTATCMTCCTAGCAGCACCGCTCCGTTGCAGATCCGGATCCGGTTGGGGGTCCCCTGCGCGCAGTCATCCGGTACGCACAAAACGAACGTTGGAACCCTCATGGCGGTCGATCAAAAACGAATCGCCTCCGTTCTCCCCTCCTCTGTGAACCTTCTCCCCCTGCAGYTCGAGGTGGGTGGTCTCTTTGTGCCCGGAGGGAGCGGCGGCAACAACAGCAACCCCAGTGCCAATCGCACTGCTCCCTCGATMTGCACGGTAGTAGCGTGCATCACCCTCGAGCCGTYCGACCGCTGTAGGCAACCGCTGCCTTCCTCCACGCAGCAGCTATCATCGCCGCCACAGCGACAATCCACACAGCTCGTACCGAACCAACCCAAGGTGTCAATCTTTTCTTCCACTAGCACTCTTCGCGGTACTGCTACAACCACTGCGGCTCCGTTACCACCGCCCCCCCTGTCGTATCGGACTACACAACAAGGGGAACACCATTCCGCGGAACGAGAACCTACCGATGGCAATAGAACTGATYTTCGACCTTCGGCGATAGGCGAAAGCAAGATTCACCAGTGTGAAGCAACCATCGAGGGRAAGAAATCACAGCAGCACCAATCCCTGGCTCGTGGAAATTCAACTAMACGTGCGCATGCAAATGCATTGCCTCCCCCTTCCCAACCACACCGTCAAATTGCAGCAGTATCAGCTGCYACAACGAATTCTATCGAACTGCTTGCAATGATCAGCGCGCAAGAAATCAACCGCACAAACACGACAWCGATAGCCGCTTCCGCAACACAAGTGGCAGCAGCAGCAGCAGCAGCAACGGCCGTACCACCGAGCCACACTCATCCTACGCCCGATCTCCGTGTACCACCGATGGYACCTGAAGGAACGGATACTTCTACCGATCACCATATAAGTGGAAAACGCAAACCATTCCCACCGGAACGAACCACCCCTAAGAACCACGGTAACAACTCCGAGGTTCTCAACGGTGGGATCCAAGCAAGTTTTAATGGCGGCCCCCAACCCTCTGCAAATAACGGTGCCCGAACCGTTCCAGGAACCTCCAGTGCTCCCCTTTCGGACGCCAGGATCCAGACTTGCGGTTCTGTWGCCATACAAAGACCCCCGCCATCGTCGCCGATCTATACCGACTGGTCGGGTGAGCGGCCCCTYCCGGAGGAACGGGATTGCTGGGCCTTGTCGACGAGAACGACTTCGAGTCCGGTCTTCCCCCTCAAGCTACACGAGACTCTGAGCCAGATCGAACGAGACGGACTCGAGCACATCATCGGGTGGCTCCCACACGGAAGAAGCTTTAAGATTTTCAAGCAAAAGGAGTTTGCTGAGATCATCCTCCCCAGGTACGTACATGCAAGCAAAGAYCGTGCTGTATTCATTATTTTACCATGTCGTGAAATGCAAGCGGTCTCCCTGCCCCCTCGAGTGGTTCTGCTCACTGCGATTTTTTGGTGTTCGTTCGTCCTGAACTTTATAGATACTTTGTGATGACTAAGAAGTCAAGCTTTTTGAGGCAACTCAATCTTTACTCGTTCCGCCGGTTCAGTGCGGGCTTCACGGACAAGGGAAGCTACTACCACGAAAAGTTCTTGCGCGGCAGAAAGTTTTTAACACGGAGGATGACCCGACAGAAAGTCAATGGGAATCGTATACGATCCGCGGGCAACCCGGACGAGGAACCCAATCTGATGTTGTACCMCGTTTGCTACGGAGAAAACCAGAGCGAGGAAAAACAACAACAGCCTCAGCAACACCAGCGAAAACTTCCCGCGACCCTTTCGTCCTCCCAGTCTTCTTTCTGTGCGTACACTGCTCCTGGGCCCACCCAAACAGCAACAGATCCTCCGGTGGCCGGAGGAATTTCAAATAGAAATGATACGATAGGGACAGCTCCGTTTTTGAAAGTACTCTGAACCCACCGTGAACCGAAATCGTGCGTTGTTGCCTCGCTTATCATGCCGAATTTGAGCTGATAATTTTCATTGGTTCACGACAGTTGCAGTCCAACTTTAACTCCTTTGCTTTGGTCGAAAGAAGGAAGGTGGAGCTGGTGTAACTATAGTGCACTGTGATATGACAATGTTACTAAATTTAAAAAATATATTGGGTTGTGTACAAATATTATGAATCGGAAGTGAAACCATGGTATCCCATAGACGTTGCTCAGACCGACTGTCAAACGTTATCAATCAGTACATAGAAATTATCACGAATAACCCCGAAAGCACTCATTGTATGACTGAACCACGGCTGGWACTTCATACTATTACAAGGCCGGCGGGTTTTCAGAGGCAGGAGCCTTCGAAACATGTTCTTCGACATGTTCTTCGACCTGGCTTTTTGGTGTGAAGAGGGCGCTTCGGTTGCGAAGAAAACTGCTTTGCATTATGCTGCTGTTTCTGACAGTTGACCACACACGGGACAATTCCTTCACTGCAGTTCGATAGTGCAGGCCCGTATGGAAGAGAAAATTCCAGAAGCCCTGCAGAGTAAGCGCTGTTCCCGCGAACAGAAATTGTCCATACGAAGAAAAGGCTTTGCCATAACCAATCATGAGTTGTAGAGAAAGATATGCCGGCCACGTCAAATAAAAGGCACCAAGGTACACCATCGACTGGAAGAAAAATGCTCTCGACAGCGATTCACGTTCATTTTCGCTGTGTCGTCGAAAACGCCGCGAAGCACGCTCCGATTTGTACACAAACCAACATAAGTTGATCATTATCACCGTTGCAATTGCAATAGCAACCATCACCGGAATCTCAGACCAATATGATCTTGAATTGTTGCACCACAACACAGTATTGTCATAATAGGGAATCCCAGCAAATGCAAATATGGCACCAACCAAAATAGGTACAACAAAAAGCATGGAATACGCCCAGCTCTGCCTCAATCTATTTTCTCTCCACGAATATTGGATGATCAAAAGATAGTAAAAGGCTATCGATACATTCATGTACAAAGATATTGTGCCGAGTTGGATGAAAAAGCCCTGCGCAATGCACGAAGCTTCGTTCCCTTGCGAATGTAGGATATAATCCTCTTTGGGAGTCGGCAATGTTGTAAATGCATATGCAATTGAACCGATGATATCAAAGCAGCATAAGAAAATGATGAGTTCGCCTATCACTCTCTTGCGCTTTTGCTTATCTCTCAGGACACCAATGATCATAAAGGAAGACCCCTACGTATTTCGAAAAATTGCATGAAGAAGGCGAAAAAGAACGTGTTACATGAAAATTCCGGTCTTGAAAAATGCAACAAACACTTGTATAAAAACTTCACAAGATCGGGGCTCTTACCAAAATGGATAATATAGCTCCAACYCGTGGGAACCATTCCAACATGAGTTGTTTCTTCTTGGTTTTTGCTCCTGCATATCCGAGTGAGTCACTGCAGCCACAAATGTAGTTCCAGCTTCTGCCAGATGCACACTCTGGAGTATCTGCCTCTATGTTCATCCTACGGTAAAACTCGGCTACTGCCCAGCATTCGACATAAACATCTGGGAACATTTCAATCCTGAGAGAAAAATCATACATAAGTAAATAGTTAGCAATGAAACCGCAACAAAAATTGTTTATCAAACTAAACTCCCGGAAGATCAAAACCAACTTACGTCCGGTATGGATACTCCATGTCCCAATTTTCGACGTCGGCACAGGTTGCTTCAGATTTGGCCGCGCAAAATTGGCAGGGAGTTTCCACCTCCACATCCTTTTCGGTTGAAAAGTAACCATCTCCAACATCTCCGATTTCAAATTGTCCCCTCGGACAGAATTTGCACGGTGCAGACCGCAGTTCCGTTTGCTCTACAGGACTGGTGAAACATTTCGCGACACACTCTGTTGCTCCTTGACCGTTCAGGTCGAGAAAGAAACAGTCCGCATCGGTTTCGGGACACTGGGCACAGAAGCCTCTTCTCCCCTTGCTAAAGTCGCAGAATTCTGTCTCAGAAGTGCACGGCAAGTGTCCAGTAAGACCGTCTGTAAACATTTGATTGCAATCGACTCGAAACTCCGTCGCTCTGCAATCACCGTACTCGATGTTGTCGAAATTGCACTCCAAATCCGTTCCTTCGCATTCATTGCCCTCGGTGCAACCTAGCCAACAGTCTCCGGGAGATCTATCGATGCCACCAACCTCAACTGTAGCTAGCAAATGTGTTCCTTCTGGCATTGCAGCGACTTGTTTCAGTATAGATTTCCCATCAATGTGCCTCAACGTTACGGTTGGGATGAAAGTCTCACGTCCATTAAAAGTTCCGTCAATATTGTCGCATTTCGCCTCTACGTTGTAAATTACAGCGGCAACACCACCTCCTTCGTAACAGTTAATAGTCTTGTTAGAAAATGGGGCTTTACCACGCTCTATAAAACAAACTGCGCCTGCTGCGCCTTCGCACGGCTCCAAACCCAATCCGCAGTTCACAATCGGACCGGTTGCGGTCATCTGCGGTGATCCAAATAGTATCACCACGTCGTCAATAGCTGTAGTATCCTCTTCTCGATCGGAAGTTTCTGGTGCTTGCTCCGTGATCCTGAGCGCACCCTCGGGGTTGCAATTCACACTACACGACGATTGACAGGCGAAAACTCCATCGTCTGTGAGGTTCTTGAGGTTCTGGCCGAGGTTTTCACGGTTTTCGTTTTCACAAAAGTACATGTGAACGGGGCACCCCTCGCAGCGGCCACCCTCGATGCCGTTCTCGAAGTTGCAAAACAAACCATTGGAGCATGGTTTCGTGAACGAACACGTGTTCGTTTCCGTCCCGCACTGAGCTTTGCACTCCGCGGCGACCGCTTGTCCCATAAAATACTCCGTAGATGCCTCGCTGCCGGTGCCTTCGGTGAGGGCGGGATCAGGCTCGCATGCGTCGAAACTCCCAGAGCACGGCCTGCAAAGCCCTAGTACAAAGCTAGCCCCGTCTTTGTCTGTTTCTTCCGACAGGTCGCAATAATAGCCATCTGGGCAGAACGGATAGAGGGCATCCCAGTCGCCGACACCGTCCGTTTCGTCATCGTCTGTTGCATTCTTGTCATCGAAAAGAGGGGCCACAATCATGGCGCCACCCTCTGTCCGAGAAAAAGTTCGCGACGTGCATCGCTGTTGGTGAGCAATTGGGTTCTCCATCGCAATGGAAACCACATCAGCAACAACAAAGCCCATGCTTTCGGATAGAAAAACAAACACAAGTATCGAGAGAGATTTCGCAATCATGGTGACAACAACTACTTGAAAATCGCGATGCTTGTTCTTGTATACTTCTTCTGGTCTGACCCTGGTGTTTGGATTTGACACTACCAGGGATGAAGGTACGAGTTGGGAGAGTGTATGTATGTAATTAACAAAGGCACCTAGTCGTTCGGATGCGTTTTGTCGATCGTGCTTCTGTATTCTGTATTCTGCCTTTGTTTTTGTTGTTCAATAGTTCGTTAGCAATGCGACGTGAAGAAGCAACACTTTGCAAAATTCGAGTGGAACGGGTTCAGCTTCGTACCTATGCAATGTTGCACTAACGCTTGAAGCCTACCTGGGGGAAGAAATCGGTGCGTTGGTGTCGGCGAGATTATTCCGTTGTGCAAACATGCCGCGTGATGAGTACGAGTACGAGTGAGAGGCGAAGTTTGTTCGATTTCGACACCCGTACCGTGCCGCACAGATTACAGCGTATCCCCCGTACCGAACTTGAAGTAGAGTTTCCAACCGCTTCTAAAACAGCTTCATCCGAATTACTTGTTCTACTACTTGTGCCGTGTAAGGAACCAGGGGTCATAATATATGACCCTGTGAAGAAAAAGCGCGCATGTAAAAAAATTGTCGAAGTATCAGTTTCGGTATTGGGCTTTTGAAAGAATTTTACTTGGTCTCGGCAGCTCTTCGAAGACAATGGAAACTTTCACGTCACACGTAATTGCCTTGTCTCAAAGGGTGTCAATGAAAAAAAATAATGCCTCAGCAGAAATTTCTGAAAAAAAATAATGCCTCAGCAGAAATTTCTGAATTCTTAAATTTGATTGACACAAATACCTGTGTACCAACTACTTTTTCCTCTGCCAAAAAATACATTAGTACCAGATGGAGGATACAAAAAATAGGTACTACTCTGTTTTGTAATTTTTTGAGTGACACAAATGAGTTGTAGTGTACCGTATTGTAGTGTAGGTCTGTCGAGGCAAAAAACTGCCGTTGTCCGTAACAGTCCGTTGAGCGGTTGAACAAAAATTTGAAAATTGAAAACAGAAACTTTGGCTTGGCATCCTTCCTTTTGTGGATCTGGAACTTCCATTCGAGAGTCCGGAAATCGGGCTTGTTCGTTTGCGAAGATGGAATGTTGTTCCTATGGAATGCAGTTGTATATATCATTACAGAGAAACATCGACTCGAGGAAACAAAAGCGGGGTTGGAGTTTGAAAATGGTATGAAAGTGGACCAACATTACCCTGCCTTTCTACCTTCCACAGGTTCAAAGCCTCTGCATGGGTTGCCATTGAGCCCCGAACACAAGCCCTGGCTGGATAGACGAAGCTCTGCTACAGAGAGTCGGCGCAAGTGCCACAACACAACACAACACAACACAACGCAGCACAACAAAGACTGCACAAAGTCACTGCATTGTTCGTAACATCCTTATTGGAAGAAATATCACTGACTCGAATCACGGAGTACCGACAACAGTTTGATGCCGCACTGGCTTACTCCGCCACTGCAGTATAGCGCATTGCGTTGGCACTTCTATGCACTACGAATTGGCTCAAACGGAGACTAGGTAGAATAACGCTCGCGTGGGCGAATTCCCGAAAATTTCATCACAGAACCTACAATGTTATTATGGTTATTGCAGTAACATGAAATAAATATACAGAGGGAGTAAACTGCGTTGGTTCCTAAAAATTTGCGTCTTTTTTTCGTACAGCGAAGGCGGATATGGTCTTGCCGTTCAAAGAGTTCTTGGAAAACACGGAGCGACGAAATGGTTTTAGTCGTCCTCTTCGGCCGCGGCCATTATTTTTACTGCATTTTCTACACAAGACCATACACGATCAGCATCTTCTTCTGTTACGATACTAATGATGTTTACAGAAATAAATACACCAATATACATTACCAATGAATGAATCGCAGATTTGAAGAAGACGACGAAAAATACGTAGAAGTGAGTCAGAAAAGTCAAAACTGAGAGACGCGATCACGTTGACCAGAAAAGCACAGAGTGACGCTGTTACGATTTCAATTCGATCTTACTTGAGAAATCTTCACGTTCGTTTTGGTACGACGGAAACAGAGCCCCGGTGGCACCGATTATTGTTCAATACAAACGAATTCGTTCAGCAAAGTCAGGATTGAGAGCAACCGTAGTCATGTTAGTTGATCAAGAAGCCAAAACCGAGCGAGGGAAATAGACAGACAGAAACACAAACAAACGAACAAACCAAACCGAACTCGAACTCGAAGCAGCAAACCTACGCGTCCGACTCGAACTCTTCGCTGGTCATCCCCTCCAGGGCGACGCTCCCGAAATACTCGTCGTGCTCGACCGCCGCGCAGGGGGCCCTCTTGCAGGAACCGATGCACGGGCCCTCCTCCACCCTCACCCCCGTCGCCGCGGCCCGCGAGTACAGGGCCCCAAAGGTCGACAGCGGGTCCAGGCCCAGGCTCTGCCGCTTCTTGCTGCAGGCGGTCGACGTGCAGGCGACGATCTTGAACTTTTTCTCTTGCTCGGCAATGGCGTCGGGTTTGGAGTCGGCGTCGGCGTTGTCGCTGGCTTGGCCGTGGTGGCTCGAAGGTGCGGTTTCCAGCGCCAGCAGGGGTCTCGGCGGTCCGGACGCCGTGCTAGCGAGGTGCCGTCGTCGTTGCAGTTGGCACCGCGGATTCGTTAGCGACAAGGATCCCGGAAGGAACAGCACTGCGACCGCGAGTTGCCGCGGTGCGAGAACCATGGCTGTTTTCGAAACCACGGTGCTCTTTTTCGTCCCTGGTTTTGTCTTGCGATGCGGTATGCTGTGGCACTATGCGCTGTCGTCTTTGCGTTTCGTTTTGTTCTGGTCGGTCTTAAACTGCATGGAGTGATTTGTCTCAAAAAAACAAACAAAGGTTGCTCAAAACGACGCCATGCTGGAGATGGTGTCTGTCCTGTTCTGTTTGTTCTTCCTGTTCTTGTTGGTATCTATTCGTTCGGCTTCTGTTTTCCGTTTCCAATAGATTCACGAGTTACAGTAGCACAAGTACGAGTACCATTTGCCATTTGCGATTAGTCAGCCCGAAGCACACCACAATCCCACTTACGGCCTCGTCCATGCCTTGCACGCTTGGTAAGGTTTTTGAAGGAGAGTGAGTGAGTCAGCTGGTGCTCGTACTTGTAATATTAATCGTACCGGTGTACGTACGTAATTACCCAAACCCGTACCTGCAGTTCGAATATTTTACTTCGCGAATTTCTACTGACTTACTGTACCAGTTTGAGCCTAAATTTTTTTCTTCGTACGCACCATACTTATTAAATGTATCCATTGTGAGGCAGTAGCTCACGATTGATCTAGACCGAAAACTTTGTATGTACACTTGCTTGTATTCGTACTCGTACTGTCTGATGCGAAGTACAGTACTTTTTCGTACGAGCTGTACTACTCAATACAGATTTCTGTGAAATCATCAATCGAATGAAGACGCATGTTTCAGGAGGGAAGATACTACCATACCGTACGTAATGTAATGCAAACTAAACCAACGCTACATACCGACTTCATACTGCACATACCCAACCCAAACACTAAGGGATCTATCGTTGGCTTGTTTGTTGCAGCACTTCATTTCTTCCGTAACAACTTGTTGGTACTGCACGACAAAATGAACTGAAAAGGTAGGGTGGGATGCGTGGCGTTGCATACAATTGTCGTTTCCGGGTGATTTGAAGTACTAGACGAACAGAAACTGAGTCGTGGTGGTTGCGGTTGCAGTTGTGGTGCCCTATCATACCAACGATTTTCTGGATAGGATCGAATCGAATTGGTTGGTAACCCACGTGCAAAACACGATGCTCTAACACATCCCGATGCGTTGCTGCCTATTTTTGATTTTTTTCTAGCCAAAAGCTCGTTCTATACACTTCTTTACAGGCCGTACGGCAGAATGGATATCGATTCGTGCTGGCATTCCTCCGCTCCGCACCGCATCTGGAAACCCTAACAAACCCAAACCCAGAGCCTCTGATCGGAACAACAAAGCAACGACAACAAAACAGATGAGTCGCACAACAACAACCACCTCTGCCCAGCGATGGAAGCGTCCCTCGACGCTGCTCTTTCTCGTCCTCGGCATCGCGGTGCCCATGGGCCTGCGTTTCTTCTGGACGGAAGAACCACCCGTT